ATTCAATTTCCTATCCTTGTTTGTAACTTCTTTGCATTTGTGATGCTAATTAGAGGGAGAGCCAACAACCAGCGGATTCAACTCAAGAACCTTGATTTGCTGACCTGCCGGACGAGACATTACGATTGTCACAACCTTCAAGACGATGCAATTGAGATGAAGATCTTCAAGAACGACATGTTCTTCCTCGAACAGATGGTGAGATACAACGCGTTTGGTATCATGATTTGGGAAGGGACTCTCGATGTTTGGTGATTTTGCTAGAGGTAGGAACAACTCCTGATGGTGTTCCGAATATTCTATTCGAAGGAAGTTACGAAGGCCTCAACAATGATCAAATAACTGGGTGGTCTTCCCGCCCTGGTATGGGACACTACTGATGGTTGAGAGGCCCTATCAATCATCTTCGAAGAGAACAGAGATCAGAGTATGTGGCGAATACAATTCGTCGCATCATAGATTTCCTCAACATATGATGACTGCTCCTCGTGGAACTCGTCTCTAGAAGGGGGGGTAATGTCACGGCCATAATCATGTAAGCTAATAATTACATATAGAAATAGGTAGAAGTAAGTAAAAGTAGATAAAAGTAAGTTAATTCTATAATATTTAATATAGAAGTTTCCTAAAAACTTCCTAGACACTACTTTGACTTCATAGGTGTCTTTAATTGACTTTTTGGATTAGAAACGTGGTCAACAAGTTGGCCATGTGCCACACATGTTGTTAGCTTGAAGATTAAGCTAACTATGTGGCCCACACATAGAAAAACTTGCCTTGTAAGTCAAGGCATGTGTCCTACAAAGTCAAGACATATTGGAGGTCCTATAGAACGTCGCCACATAGCCCCTAGTTAGATAATATATATAGAGACAAGAGTGAAGGCTTCTTCACTCTTGTCAACTCCTTTCTTGCTTCTAGTCCAGGTTCAAGAGTCTTTAGTTTCTTGTCTTGTGGCAATAGCCATTCCAGTTTCCTTTTAATATACCTACTTGTTTATATTTTGACTTATTATATCGAGATAGCCTTTTGGTGTATATTTTCCCTCATCGAGTCTTTGTCCTTGACACCTTGCTTATATACACTTATGTGCAATTTTCTTCATATGACAAAAACTAAGTACTTAAACACTATAAAATTTGATATATAACTTTTTAATCTAATAACACATAATTTTAAAAGGTTTTGAGCCAAAAATTCATCTCAAAACTCAAGATATGGCTCCAACCATTACTATCAACAAAATGATTCATTTAATACTTTTGAATTACATGTGCTATCTTCAATACTTTGTAACTTCTTCATATAAACTCCAAATACAAAAATTCTTTCATAATAGATGTAGATCTTAAAAATCACATTTAAAGTTTTATCTTTCAATCTCTAAATTCTATCATAAAACTCCTTATATGCTCAAAAGAGAAATAATATGTCTTAAAAAGATACTTTAACTACAAATGGCTGTAACTTCATTATCCTAACTCCAAATCCTCCAAAATTTATATACAAATTGTAGCCGAAATCTTAAATCTTATAATTCTTACTTTTGATTCTCAAATGTTCTTTCTGAAGTCACCAAAATCCTTGTTATGGTCGTAGACAACCTACTAAATGCCTTTTGGACATGGCGTTTAATCAATAGGAATGAAGATCTTTTTCTTTTGCCTTCATCCATCCATACCTTGCTTTCATCCTTCCAAATAAGTTTCTTAGAGATTTAGATCTTCATCTTTGAGCTCCAATCATCTCCTTAAGTTTTATACTAAATATCTAAATCTTATATAATTTAACCACTATAATTAACATAAGTAAACTTCAAAATAAATTTTCTTACATCAATTCTCTTTAAATTAACATATTAACTATTCTAAAGTACATCAACACTTATAAATATATTATATATTTTAGATAATTTTTACATACTATAAACAATTATAATACAATAGCATAAGAATCCAAAGGACCTAATTTTTATATTTGCACGAGCTAAGTATGAGGTAAGAATTCATGATGCCTAAGATGAGTCCAAGATGCAATAGCAATGAAGCAATTAGAAGGGCCATCTTCCTCACCTTGAGCTAAACCTCATCAAGGGTGTAAGATGAGCTGAGGAATACTTGAATTCCAATGTGTTCTAGGTCCTTAAGTGGCATATAAGTCACATGCTATAGGCATTTCAAAGAAAAAAGTAGCTTAAGTAGGTCAAGATGTGACTTAAGAGACAAGAGACGTCTTTTTAGTTAATTCTTGATGAGTGACATCAAACTGGTGACTTGACACTATACAATGGAATAGGCTTGAGGTAACAAAGCATCTCTTTTAGAGAATGAGATGCAAAATTACATATATCATAGCGATTGGTGTTCATGAAGCAATGCAAGTAAGCATTATGGTGCAAGGTTACGCTATACTATAGAGTTGTGACCTAACACAATTTAGTGCATAGATGGACTCAAGAATTCACAAAGGCTTGTTAAGTTCTTTTTTGTAATGTTTTTGTGTAAGTAACATTGCTTTGGTGGGATCTTTAGGTGATTAGAGGTACTTTGTGAAGAAGCAACATTATAGCTACAAATATACTATTACAATTCAATGGAAGAGTCGACATTATTTTTGAAATAATTATGTTCTTTGGCATTTTATGCTATAAATCTTTTAGTAACAAAGCCATATTCTTAATGTCTAGATATAAGTAATAATATCATTATTTTGGAATATTTTATAAACATAAAATTTTCCTTGTAATTCAAAGATGTTCTTGGCACTTTGTTGAAGGTTTCTTATACATAGCTTCATCCACATACTTTTAGCAATCAAACAACTAGTCAATTTTGAAATGATATATGTTGATATATAGAAAGTAATAAGCATATATTGCATCTGCATTTTTTTGATCGAAAACATCAATTTGTTTCTGGATTTTGGAATTATTTTGTGTAGCAACCTTTACAAGCCAACATTCTATGCCAGTGACAACTATGTAAACTTTTTTACCCTGTAATAAAATTCCCATGTAAAATTTTTGCAGAAAAAATTGATCAAAGTCAAAAATTGAAATTCCAAATTTGTCTTGTTTTTCCATGAATTTGGAGAGTAATCAAAACCAAGTGAATAAAAGAAGTTGGTTTTGAAGAGAGTAACAAATTAACAAATGAATAGCAAATGAAGAACCAAAGTGATTGCAAGTTAAGAGTTGAAGTAATAACCCGGTAAGAGTGAGGAAGAACAACTAGTTTATACACTAAAAAAATCCAAATTAATATAAATAAGTAATTAGAAGCTGAGCAAGAAAATTAGAAATGTAAAATAGAGTAGAATATTGATACAAAATAACAATTGTAGCATTGTGACATGAAGCGCCGCTTATTATCGTCGTAGAGGGCCATAACCTGTTGGGTTTACACACGCATGAACAATGATCACACTATGCAACACTGAATGTGACTACATTTACTGTGCAATTTTTCAGATCCTTTTTACAAGATTTGTCTTCAAGACACGACAAAGCGGATTGCTAGACTCTCTGCTTACGAGTGTTTTGCTCACTGTAAAAGAATGATTTAGCTTTGCTTTGTACACTACTTTATATATCACTGATTATGATTTACATTGGTATGTAGGAAGTCGAATGAACGTATTCATCTAACAACAAGAGGGTACAAACTATATCGATGATTAGACACTCGTCCAGGAGACAGGGATAAAGTCATTGTTCACATTTGTGAGTTGTAACTGTGCGCGCATGCCGATTTTGCGTTGCGGTGATTACAACGAATGTCCTTTTATTGGGTCATCATTCAAGCTTTCAGGGCTCATTCAGTCGCCGTCGACAACGTCCTGTCGTGACCGCAGCGGCCCCATCATTTTTTTTGAAAGTTGGGGAGATGATGCGTCGTTTCTGACGCTGTGATGTGGTGTCGCAACCTCATACTTTTCTAGTGCGTCGTCTTGGCAGTTAAACCCGAGTGGACAGAGTGAGTCGTGAGATGACCAGAAGCTCTCGGATCTTCGAGAGAGAGAGAGAGAGATCATTGCTGATGAGAAGTTTGCATACCTTGCACAGTGCTGTGAGGCAGTATGATGCCCATACATGAAAGTTTTGCCAAGACCTGAACCTGCAAATCTGTGGGTAACTCGCTCACATTGCACGACCTACTCATCATAATGCGCTCCTCCGGATCTGCACTAGAAGTGAATGAACGTCACACAACTGGCAATAAATGGGGCAGGGGGGTTGTAAGTGCTACTGTTGGGTTTCGTCCTCCCAAGTCTTAAGAGTCCTTAGTAGTATTTGGTACGTTGTAAATGTGGGCTGGTTACGTCATGGAAGCGTAGGAGTTTTAAAGATAGTTAAGTTGCTGTCTCAGCATGTGCTGGTAGGATTGCTGGTGTTTACACTGAAGGGCCAATGCAATTGTCAGATATATCACAGTACAAACTCAGATTTCGATGCAGTGGAGCTGCGCAGACAGTACATAATTATTTCCTCTGGCACATGTCCCTCGTGTGAGCCTTCATGATGGTGGAATTCCATCGCTCATGCATCGACAGTTGAAAATCCTTCATTTGTATGCATTACCTGATGATTTCGCACCTCTGGCTCGCTGGAAGTTTTCTGGTCCCAACCATTGGTAGTAGGGTTTTAAAGGTTTTAAAATAAGCAGGGATCAATTAAGAAGCCCATTCTCTGACTGCATGAATCTGTGGTAGGTAATGGGTGGCTGGAGCACTGTAGCTCAGAATCGGTTGCAGCACCAGCTGGTTAAAGCGGGAGGCCTATGATGACCACTGGATCCAGGAGAAAAAGGCATTTACTGAACTACAATTCTTCAATGAAATTTGGGATTTAGCGGTGATGCAGAATGTGTTCAGATTGTGCAGGATTTTTTTTCTGCATGTGCATCTGAGTTGCCAACGATGGTGTACAGTAAGGTCACGAGTGGAATGTTCTTGTTAACAGAGACGCAATTGGGTTTAGAGCGATACCCTGCTGCGAGTGCCAAGACAGGTGGAGCTGGCGTGTGGCAGTTGAAATGGACCAGCTGCTATTCATGCGATGTGGAGAGGTGGGCAAAATATAAATGAGGGGGTACTTATCACATGGAACGAGATCTTTCCAATGCAGCGCATGTAAAATCTAACATATGGGCCACTGCAATACCATTGTGAGCTCAGATAAGTTGGCGTACGGATGAGGACTCTGTTGAAGGGAAGACAGAGAGAGGGAGGTCGATTCTATCAATGAGGTCGATCACGCGCAGTATGTTTGCGGAACAAGTTTTCAATTCGATGAGTTTTCCAGCTGGCCGGAGCTTTCATCCTTCTTTTAAGGCTTGTGTAAGAGATCGATTGCGAAGCCACATAAGTATCTTCCTAGTCGCTGCAGCTGTGTCTTCACTAAGACCGTGGAACATCAAGTTGCAGATGGTTCTTTCTTCCCTTTCGAAGTTGCTTTCTGCCCACTAAAGACTACACAGCATTGTCATGTGCTGCGGCTACTCAAGCCGATCAGCTGAGTTGCAGCTTTTCCCTGGTAAGCTCTGTGAATTTAAGTATCGATTTATTGAATATGTCTGCCCAAGAAAGAAGGCTTTCTTTTTCTTTCTATTCTGTCACACAATTGGATTGCTTTTAATGTTACAATGAGGGTGTGCCGAAGGTTCCGCTGATCAGGATCTGTATTTCGATTTCCGTAACGCTCTCTGATGAACCACAATTGCTAGAACATGATACCATATTGGAGCTCCCAATGTAGTCTAGTTGTTTTGATTGTGTATTGCCTGGATGAGTGCATCATCGTGGTAGCTATAATGCGTCAACATGGGAGAGCGTAGCCAATTGTGAGTTACTGAACACAAGATCATTCGTGTTTTGCAGGCCTCTTCTGCTTGGATGGGTTTGGTAGGTCTGTACACATAACTGCATGCAAGAGACAATGCAGTTCGAGATGAAGCTTCAGACCGCGAAAGCGGATTTATCTTTGAGGAGGGAGATTTGGGTGCTGCTTGTATGGCTACTGCTGGTGCAAAAAGGTGAGGCACAACAGCCATTCGCTTCCCCAGCTCAGACTTCACCATCACCTGGAACTGCGACATGGGCGCTGCTGCATAAAAACGTGGGAATCGCAAGCATGCACACAGCGGTGACTCACACTGGACAGGTGCTCTTCCTGGATAGAACTGATATCGGTCCCTCGTTGATCAGCCTTGCGAACGGCCTGTGTCGCGACAACCAGCGTGATATGAGTTCTCAACACGACTGCACATCGCACTCGCTGATGTTCAACCCCATTGATAACTCCGTGCGGCCACTGCTGGTGATAACCGACACCTGGTGCAGCTCTGGGCAGTTCTTGCCGAACGGCACATTGATGCAAACGGGGGGCTACAACGATGGCGTCCAGCGAGTCCGATGGCTCACACCTTGTGGATCTGATGGGTCTTGCGATTGGGTGGAATCCTCCACCGATCTGTTGCAAGCCGGGAGATGGTACGCGTCCAACCAGCTGCTCCCCGACGGAAGAATGTTTGTGCTCGGGGGTCAGTACTCACCAACATACGAGTTCATTCCCAGCAATGGCCTGGGCATCTTCACCCTCCCACTACTTGAATCGAAGAATTACTTCAACTGGTATCCGTTTATACATCTTCTACCCGACGGCACTCTGTACATATTCGCAGATCGCGATTCCTTGATTTTGGACTATAACACTAATACGATTGTCAAGACATTCCCCAGTATCCCCGGAGAGCCTAGGAACTATCCGTGCGCCGGGTCTAGTGTGATGTTTGCGCTTGAAAATGGCGGAACGAGCGCACCCGAGGTATTGGTTTGTGGGGGCGCGAGCATCATGGCGCCAGGGAACGTTACTGCGCAATATCCTGCGTCTCAAACTTGCGGAAGGATTACCGTGTGGGATACCAATCCAGGCTGGAGCATGCAAGACATGCCGATCCGACGCAATATGGGTGACATGGTTATGTTGCCAAACAGCCAGGTATACGAACAATCTTTGCTGTCTTGCCATAGTAATAATTTGTATTCTTATCTTTTAACGTTGCTCAGAGTGTTGAACTTGGTCTCTTTGCGGGTCAGATTTTGATAATTAATGGAGCGCAAAACGGTGCTCAAGGGTGGGACAATGCAGCCTCCAACCCCGTCTTAAATCCCGTCATCTACGATCCTGATTCCTGGTCGTTTCAAGTTCAGCCGGCGTCGACTATTCCTCGAGTGTACCATTCAACCGCAAATCTCCTCCCTGACGGACGCGTTCTCGTGGCTGGCAGTAACTGCCACATACATTATACATTCGTCGGAGAGTTTCCAACCGAACTCAGGGTAGAAGCTTTCCAACCCGCGTACATGGATCCAATACACGACAGCATTAAACCTTTGTTCGTATCCAATCCAATTACCATATCCTACGGCGCACCTTTCGATGTGCAAGTGTCTATACCAGGACCTGTGCAAGGCATGGTCGGACTTACTCTCACCAGCTCTCCGTTTACTACACATTCATATTCTCAAGGCCAACGGCAAGTGAAGCTTGCTATCTCCCCTCCCATGCAGCTCTCGAGCAATGTGTATAGCATCAGTACAAAAGGTCCACTAAATGCAAATGTGGCACCTCCTTCGTGGTACATGCTCCACGCTCTCCATCAACAAATTCCAAGCTACGGCGTCTGGGTCCAAGTTCAGTGAGCGTCTATACAACGTCGAGATTCTTAAATCTGCAGCGGCCAGCTTTTTCTTCTTGATCGATATCTGATGTCATTCAGCGAGCAACCACCTCATGTACCTGATGTACTGTCATTAAGGGCTCTGCGCTGCCAACATCACCCAGCAACGACCTTCGAAATCACCTCATTTCAAATGTTAAGGTCCGAGCTCGCAAATCTCTGTGATCGAGAAATATTAACTTTCTGCTGCAGAGGCGACATCACTAGACCCTTTAGTACCAAAAAATACAACACAATATCGATTTATGTATTGTTTGGAAGACATAGGAATTAGTCGAAGATGGGAATGGAGTCATCCAAGTACTGGCTTCTCCCAAGAGCAATTTCCACACACAATCTCAAACCTAATCGACAGAGAGTAGAACCGAGTAGGATTCCAGCTCCCAGGCGGACGGCGTACTATTAATCGCATAAAAATAACACGTCCAGAATGCAACATCCTGGAATGGGAGGAGAAACTGTTGGGTATTTGCTCCCATTTCTAGCAACGCCCGTCTAGGTCATCTCATCACTATGGATTGCGACTAAACTCCATGATTTTGGACAATCAAACACAGAGTTCAGTATAGATTGACTGCACAACTGCAGCATTGTGTCAGGAGTTAACAGATCGTCGTCGTCGTAGGCCCCTAGGAACTGCATTGCTAGACACGTGCAGACACTTGAGGCCGCAGAAGCTTCAGACATGTACTAGGAGTCGAAAGGGCAGGAATTGAGTAGCGTAGTGGGGTAGAAACCGACGCAATGAAGCCTAGATAAGGAAATGGAGGAGAGGGAGGGAGGGTTGCAGGTGGTGCAGCTACTCCTTTCTTCTCATCAGGAGGGTTCAGTGGGATCAACTGCTTCACCTGCATGTGTCCCCGCTGCACAGCTTTGCCTTGTCTCCCACGGATATCCAACCATCAAGCTGCACTGCAATTCCCTTTTTTGATGACATATTTTTACACATCATGTTATTTATTTAATGATATCAGGAAATTCCTCCTTTGAAGATTGCACTTTTTATCGCTCTTAAACGCTTGATTGGTTGCACCTTCAGGCATACTTTCTGCGCCATTTGCAACTCTAGAACCGCGAATGAAGATAACTTTTTGAAGTTGTTATTTTTACCTTTTGCTTTGCTTTGATGATGGAACTGTGTTGGTCATGAATGTTAACACATCTTGTGTATGTAAGTCGTAATTCGTGTTCCGTTTGGATTCTGTGAAAAATTGAGTGTGTATGGAAATAAGTTATTTCAACTTATTTTGGAGATGAAAGGAAGTAAAATAAAATGGTACAGAGATATATATATATATATATATTTATTATTATTATCATTAACTTATACTGTATGTGCTGTGCTAAAAAAAATTATGCTTTATTAATACGTTTATTTTATTTTTTAATTTAAAATAAATTCTAATCAATTTTTAATATAGTTTTATTAAAGTTTATGATATCTTTATTTGCACATAAAAAAATTTATTTACTTCTCTAAAGGTTGTATGTGCATACTGATATTAAGACATATGTATCTATATTTGATTACAAATAAAACGTATTCATTGTGTAATTGACATATGGACCTGACATTGGACACCTAAAATTGATTTTGTAAAGATATGTTATTTATGCATACTCAAATGCATAATTTGATCATAACACTGATGTTCATACAAAGAGTATAATATTAAAAATTCAAGGCTTTTAAACTAGAAATGATAAGTTCCGTTCCTTATCCTTAATACCAAGTTTAATGATTGGTTTAGTTTAAAATTTATTATAATTTGTTCCGATAAAATTGCATTGTTTATTCTATTATCAAAATATGGAGAAATTAAACTGTATTGGAAGCGTATGCATTTAAGTTTTGTTTAGAATGTATGAATTTGTTTTAACAAAAAATCGTTTTTACAATAATAATTATACCTGTAAAAACTAGATGCCAATTGCGATTTTAAAAGTTGAATCATATTTCTATCTGTTTAGTTACAAACAATAAAAAATTATTAAAAAATTCGGAATTTCAGTTAACGCTTTCCCATTTTAATTTTTTTTTAATATAAAACCATGTTTCTGAGTTATAATATTAAAACTTCAATATTAAGATTCGGTTAAAACCACATATATATTTAGAATTTCCGCATTAATATTTTTACTTTACAAGATGGAAATGCAATATTTGCAGCTACGATTTTTTATTACTTTGATTTGTAGTTAATAAATTTTGATTTTAAAATTGCCTATTTACCTAACCTAGCATTGAAATCCTAGGTTTTATCTGCACGAAATTACTTCATTTGTGATCCGTTCTTTGTGAAAAAAGATAACTTTAGTTCAAGATTATTATGATTATTATTATTATACTTTCCTATTCTGCAAGGGACTACAATGATATATGATTTGATTTCGTAGATACCACCAGTCTATTGTAAGGAATTTACATATTTAGAGAACTAAGTTGATATTTATTTTTCAGCATCAAATTACTTAATAGCTACTAACCAAGTCGTAAGATAATGATTAAAAAGCTATTTAAATATTCACCTTGTAATATTAACACGATGGCTCATTGTTTATTTATATATAGACATTCTTGTAGGAGTGGGCAGAAGAAGGGATATCAAAATATACTTTTACCTCCTATCTGCAACTTGGTTTATCAACAATCGTAACACTAGTCATAATTTATTGCACTAATAAGCCTAAAATTTGTGATGTAACATTGCGGTATGTAATTCCAATGCTCATCTTGGAAAGTAGAATAAGAATACACAGCATATCCAAAAAAGACTTTTACTCTGTACTTAAAAAAACCACATTTTTTACTTTCTCTCAGCAAAAAGTTGTGGACAAAAAGAACATGTACTTGGTTGTTGATTCATTTTAAGCTTTAACCAACATACAGGAAAGTCTACCACTGTGGTGTAAGTACATCTCATTTAAGTGCGATACAGAATTAGGCCAATAAAGTCAATGAACAAGAAAGTGAACCAAAGCCAGTGTGATGTAGGAGCCCTGGTTTTTTAAAAAGCAAGCCTGCAGATAGCAAGTATGTCTGCCAAGTTGTCCAAAGAATTTCGCTCATCATCAGGAATAGATATCTGTTGCAAAGTTGATAATAATCTAGCTGAAAGAATCGTGCATTCCAATAAACCATGAATAGAGGAACTATCTACTAAAGAATTAATAAACTCTTCACAGCAAGCAGAGGCAACATAGATGTGTTCCCACAAAATGTTCCATTAGAGCCAAACCTTTTTAGCTAGTTTCCTGGTGATGCCTAAAGACACAAGAAAGACGGCCCCAAGAACTTCATGTTCATCACATACCCACAATTCCACGGCCATTTTTATAGACAATGAGATGTGCATTCCCGGTTCAAAATCTAGATCCCCGACTCCAAACAGCAATTATAACAACAATAAAACGCTTGATCGAGCAAGGAGGATGTGGATCACTAAGCAACACTCATAGTTGACGTGAATTCCAGAACTTGAAGTAGATTCCAGTGAGGAGTCCTCAACAATGAACCCTCGTCCCACAACAATCAATCACAATACAACTAATGAGAAAACAGACATGCACAAGTAGCAGGTAAAACAATGAGCACACAAAACGAGATAGGACAAGAACAATTATAGAGATTATAACGATAATTCACGTTATACATGAATGATAGGAAAGAAGCATCGAGAAGCAAAGAGTTCGCCGAAAGTTTACAGAAGATTTACAACATCATAAGCAGGAAACCATTGGAGCGATAAACAAGAAGGTGAAATGCACAAAACGATATGATATGCACATTATAAACCTGAACGCTGCATGGAACCTACATATGACCAACTGGTTTTTCATGATCTGATGGCAAGCATTCAGGAACCACAACATCCCACCACTCTGGATGGCGAGGAATGAATGTATCCTGCACAAAAAAGAAAAAGACAAAAGACAGTGGCAGCAGATCAGTAACTAAAACCACAAATTAGCCACGAATTGACAAACAAATGAGAGCCTCCATGCATTTACTCAGTTCCAGGTGAAAGTTGCTCTTGAGAATCAGGTTGATTCGACGCGTGAAACCCTAACCTCCGGCAAATTCAGAGCTAAAAACTTGGGGGGTCACATACATAGAACCGCTTCCTTTACAGGCAATTCAACCCAATTTCTCCATATTTAGCTAGAAACTCCAACAAAACATATTTAGACACAACTATTCCTCGAGTACCTCGAATGGACTGTCGAATTCACAATTGAACTGATAATCGAAAAAATTCTTAGCAAGAAACGTACTGAGATGTAGCTGCACGTTGGTTGCACGAGCAGCTTATGCTTTCTGGCATGAGCGAAAGCCGCCTTGCAAAGCTCTCCTGCCAACCCCAGCCCTCGTTTCGAAACAGGAACATAGGTGTGCACCAAATCCATCACTTCTTTGGCAGGCTCGGCCGCGCTTTGGCCTGCTCCCACGGCCGGATTCAACATGACATAGTCCAAATAAGCCAGTCCATCCTCCGTAGCAAACCTGGACTTCTCAGCGTTCCAAACAACGCTCGCTGCTGCTGCTCCCCCTCCACCCACTTCAGCAGCTCTCACTGATGCCATACCAAGCAACCCTTCCTCCAAAAAAAAAAAAAAAAAAAAAAAAAAACAAAACAAAAAAAAAACAAAAAACAAAAAACAAAAAACACAAACACAAACAAACACAAACCCACCTCGCTCCACACCCCTAATCGCTAGAAAACATTTCCGACAACTGGAAATCACGCTTGAATGATAGAAATCTGTGCTTAAATGCAGATGATGCAGCGGAAAGCGGGGTGGCAAGCGGGGCGAACTGATTGGACCCACAATCAGAGGCAGCTTTGTTCCAAAGTCTAGGAATAAATCAAGGTTCATACATTGTGCAATCTTCACGGATTTGTGGCATGGTGGGGTTGTGAGGATTGTGCACAACCGGGCCCAATCGGAGCCACACGGCCACCACGATTCCATGGCATTCCTGGTGCGAGTGAGGATTCTTTAGAAATAGAAATAAGGACCACGACGACGTCGAATGCGGATTGTTGTTGACTTCCACTCCAGAAGGGGGTCAAACTTATTAATAAAAAAACAAGTGGATATCATGATTTCAGCACTGATTTCGAAGGATATAAGCTCATATCAAATTTGATACAACTATCTCTAGGAGATGAAATAGAGGATATCCACCTCTTATATTAAAAGATATCATCCACCTCTATGAGGCAAAATAGAATACCACCTCTTTTATTAAAAAGATTTCTTGTTATGGTGCGACCAAGTTAGTGAGCGGGTTGCGCACAGCGACAATGTAGATCCTAGCAAGCAACAAGCGGCAGAGGTTGTGGAGATTGCGGTTGGCTGCAGTGGGGTTGCAGGTGGGCATGGGGGCCGAGTTTAAAATATGAAATTTAAAGTGAGTAGGGGTATATTAAAGCATCCCAAGAACATTCTTGAGGTGATATAAACTGGTCTCTCAAATGGGCAGGGACTTATATTAAATGTGGACCACTATTAACATTAGTAATGATTTAAAAAGATATAAGAATTCATATGATTTTGGGATTTTTATGGTTGATCCTCCCTAATGCTAGCACATATATATATATATATATATATATACATAAGTTTGATGTTGTGTAAATTATCAAGATTCAAAGCATTTGTGAACATTTAAGACCATTGCTTGAATATGCTAGACCAAAGAGTTTATTTTGTCAATTGTTTGTTGATGGTTTTAATTATAATTATAAAGATTATTAATTTTAGATTATATTAAATGAGATTATTTTCTTAAAAATATTAGATGTGTTTAACTCAAGTTGTTTTAGTTGATAAAAAATATAAATTAGAATAATTTGATGTTTTAAAATAAGAATATTGAACACTATTATTGATATTTAAAATTGAAAGAAGGGTTTAAAATGAAAGAAAAAAATTAAAATAATACTAAATTGTATTAAATATAATATGACTAGAAATAAATAAATCATAGATTTATATATTAAAAACAACATTTTTAAAAAAATAGTATATTTTCTAATTTTATTTTAAAAATTCCATATGAATTCTAACTTAAAATTAAAAGATACATTATTAAAGCAAATTATTATGGTATTGATACTAATTTTTTAAAAATAAATAGATACACAATGTTAAGTACATAAATTTTAAGATTGTTAAAGCAAATGGTAACTTATCATTACTATTACAAGTAAGCAATAATATATGTTAAGAATCATTTCAATGTAATACACACAACATGTACAATACTTTTTATTATCTACGGACAACATTTGTATTACTTAATCCGATTTTACTTCACATCTATAACATATCACTTCTGCGATGCTGACTTTCTTGACTGTGGTAAAATTGTAACTGAACTACTTAACGAATATAAATTAAGAATGGGGAAATAAAATCACAATTCTACCTTCGAAGATGATCAGAATACTTTCCCTTCTTCAATGTTAAGATCGGTCTCGATCATTCGAAAAAATGTGAATGTGACAGTAGTTAGATGCGTTGTATATATGATAGCCAATTGTTATCTCCAAGCCTAAAGCGTCTGTGTCCTTAATGAACAACAGGTGGTACTGCGCATTGGTCCTTTTGAAGGAAAACCCTCTACCCAATCTGTTCTTGCTACAGCTTCGAGCATGTGGAAACATATGTAAATCCTTCGCTATTTTGAAATTCAGAACTCATTAAAGGAGGGAAAAGGTGAACAGGAAAGACAAGACATGAAAGGACATGGATGAGGAGGATGAAGAAGAAATACTCGAGTCCTGGGACTGTTTGGGGTGATCTATTGTCATCCTCCACACGGGCACGGATAAGAGTTCATGAATTGACACTGCTGGCCAAAAACAGATAACGCTGTGACGGTGGACAGTTGGGCCCTTGAAGATGACATGTGTATGCCACAGGTTGACTGTATGGAATTCAAGCAGGTGAAAAGCATGGCAGGAACCAAGAGAGCCGTTTTAAAATCTTGTACTACGTGCTTAACCAAACAAACTCGAAAGCTAGACCATTGACTCTGTTCAGATCGAAGCAAATGCAATTTGTAAGTTACAATACTGTTCTTCATACAAACGAAGCAACTAGAAGCCTTCTCTCCCCAGGGCAACTAAATGCAAATTTGCAAGGCTTCCTGTTTGAGGAATATATACACCTCTTGTCCAACTCTACTTTCCAACTCCTGCATACTAATAGTGTGAAGAGTGTGCGTAGGAAGGTTGGCGAGAGTTGCAGCGGATTTGACAGAATCAGATTATTGTGGTGGCTTGTAGTACTTGGAGGGCACGAACGGCATCTTGGTGACTACGGCGTCGTATGACTTGGATCGCACTGTGACCTTGACCTGGGTGTTGTTCTTGTGATGCCCGGTTGCAATGTAGCCCATGGATATGTTCTTCTTCAAGCAAGGGCTGAATCCACCACTGGTGATCTCCCCGATGTTCTTTCCCTCAAGGTCGAGAATCTCGCTGTGAGCTCGTGCTGGTGCACCAGTAGAGATGAAACCAACTCTACGCCTAGACACACCATCCTTGATTTGACGTAGGATTGGTTCAGCTCCCAAAAAGTTGCCTTCTGCTCGGCGTCTCTTGCCTACAGTCCATGCAAGTCCTGCTTCAATGGGACTGATGTGCTGCTCTAGGTCGTTGCCGTATAAGCACAGACCAGCTTCAAGACGAAGACTGTCCCTAGCTCCCAGTCCTGTTAAGCGGAGCTTCCCCGGAGCCTTATCCATGATGGCCTTGGTCAAATCCAGCGCAGATTCATCTGGCACTGAAATTTCGAAACCATCTTCACCTGTGTAACTGCATCCGCAGAGCAATGCGTTAAAGAATGACCCCGAATCCGAAATGGTTCAGTAGAATCCGCATTTTGGCTGTATAGTATTATGCTGTCCGTTCGTTTGATTAACAATTCCAGATTTAAAGAATGAACCACCAATCGAGGGAAACTCCAATTGAAGAAGTGAAACACACTTCAGAGTACTCCTTACAGCATACTGCAAAAATGAAATGTGCTCGTCTAAAATTGGACGAAGTAACAGAACTTCTGAGCACTCAACGCAGTTCTAGGAGTGTTGAGGACATACCCTGTGCGGGTAAGGAAGCACTCGGAGCCATTGATGTCAATAATCTTGAAGTCACTGAAATACATCTTGCTGAGATCCTCCTTGGTGAGTTTTTGCAGAACTTCGCCCGCCAGAGGACCCTGCAAAGCCAACAGGGAGCGCTCATCGTGAATGTGCCACCCGACCGACTTCCCTGAGGCCAGAAAGGGCTTCAAATACTTCTCGAGATGGGCTAAATCCTTGTCCCGGCACCCGGCATTGACAACCAGGTAGATGTGGTCATCTGTCACCTGGAACCAAAATCCTCAAACAGCGAGCTCAGCAAAAATTCGTCAGAGCAACCCATAGACTCCAATGACTGAATTGCACGCAAAGAATTCGAAGTGCATTTACGACGCAATAACTTAAGAAGTATATCAGCTGTAACAGTCAGATGCGGACGCAAGCACAATACCTTTGTGATGACAGTGTCATCGATCACTCCACCATTCTCGTTCGTAAAGACGGAGAGCGTGCCGGTACCATTGGCGAGGCCTTTGATGTCGGCGACAACAAGCGTCTCCAAGAAATCAATGGCATCTGGGCCTTTCAAGCTCAGCCCACACATATGCGACACATCGAACAAACTGCCGTTAGTCCGGCAATTGATAGTAGAATCCATGATGCTGTCCTTGTACTGGATAGGCATCGCCCATCCTGCGAAGGGTACCATCTTGCCTCCATTCTCCACATGGTAATCATACAACATGGTCTTTTTCAGATTTGCGGCATCATCCGCATAGCACCGTCGTGACGTCTCTCGCAAGGCATTGCTGCTCTGCTGCGCGAGGGTGCGTCGCACCGTGCCTCCCAGCTGCGACACTGCCCTCTTCATCATCGTGCCTTCCCTTACTTCCCAATTCCACTCAAACTCCCTCTAAAACTGAATCTACGATGACAAAGCTAGCGAACCCCTCAAGTACGAAGAGAAGAGAAACAATGCTAGCGCCTCTCACATCTAAACCCCCTCAAGACTACCGTGTCAACCGAAATGCCACGCCCCTCAAGAAGTGATTGCACCCCAGATTCAGCCACACCCGGGGGATTAATGTGGAGGAGCTCCTGGGACCAAGCAAAGTGTCAATAATGGATGAATCCGATGATGGGTGAGGAACACGGTGAAGATTCCTCATGCGCTAGAAGAGCAGACGGATCGCTGAGAATGGGTCGTGGCCGTCCGCACATAGGACTGACCATGGGCCATGGCCACCCATTCTATTGCAAATCGTTTCTAGTATTTCTTGTAAATTGATTTCAAATTCCCCACCTCTTTTCCTCTTCTAATTTTTTTTATTTTTTTATTTTTGCCTCATTCATGTATTTACAACAAATATCAAGGGACTTGCGCTCCTCTTCGCGCAACTGTGCACGGTAACTGTTCGATGATGCCACCCAATTTCAGTGCCAGGACAGGGCATCAAATTTACTTAAGGTTCTCACTTAGTGGAAAGGGCTGTGCGTTCCGATTCTTTGCAGACCGTTTTGGATGAGAATTGCACTCTCAAAGACATTAATTCAAGTGACCTAAAAGAGGGCAAATAAAGTGCAGAGTTCTTGGATCCTACAGGAGTAGAGCTTACAGGTGTGGTTGAGATGAAACGAGTGCACAAGGCTGCCTCGGGGGTAAAAGGATAGCAATGCATTGGCACCCAAGGGATTGGTTGCTGGTGGTATAGAATGAGAGTCCCAAAATGTTCAGTTGAGGCCTTATCTCAGCATGTCGGGAATGCCAGCCGCTCGTCCCGTTTATCTACAACTACATTTGTCCCGATTACGTAGGTTCATCCCTTCCTACTCATTTATTTTGCATCCCAAGCTTTACTGGGATCCTGACCAGAGGAAGTCGGCACAGGGTGCATAGCATTTGGTCATTGATCAGCATGCCATTAAGGTTCTCCGCGCATCAGAAGATTCTGTATATTCTGAACTGAGGCTGTAAACCACTGAGAAGCTACACCGCGAGAGTCCTGTTCCTTATGTAGAAAAATTCATGCACTGCTAACTTTCAGAACATTCACAACACTGTAAAAACAATCAAAAGTTTGTACATCAACTGATATCCTTTTTTTGGCTCCTCATCGACAACTGTGTCCGTTTAACCTACACAATATGCATTACATCCACTCTGTTCATGTATCTGGGGTACTCAAACCATTGGAGATGATTTGGACAGAAAGACTTCAAAGGCGAGATATTGACCCAATGTGAATATCAAATGTAGATGCAAAAGTGAAAATACCCATCTGCAGATGAGGATTAAATGAGCCGAGACTAAAATTCACATCTGCCATGTTGGGTATAATATATTACATGGAGGCCACATTCAGGGAACTGGTATAAGACCATTCGCCAATCGAAATTACTCCTGAGGCACCACTAGTCCTGGTTGCAAAGCAACTAAACATTCAAGACACCTATATGCCCTTCCAAAACGAAGGTCCAACCTAAGGCGACTTCGATTGCTCCTTGGAAGAACAATAGATCCGATATGCAGCAGCCCACATCGTAAAATTTCCTAGTACAGTGAGTGCAGCTTGTAGAACCACCAGAATCTGAAAATGAAGAATACAAACTTGTGAATACGTCTACAGGTCAACAAGTAGAAAGTCTAAAAAAATAATTCAAGCGCATGTTTTCTGCTTGCCGCTAGGAGCGTTTCATAACACCTAAAATGAAATGATCAAGACAAGGAGAACCCCCCCCCCCAAAGCACGGAAGTAATACAATTGCACCCGACACGCGCTGATAAGCTTGCGTATTTACTAAATAAAATTCTCACAAAGACCGTTTCTCTTCAACAAAACGATTCGCATGACCTGACTTGAGAAAGATCATTAGAAACTAACAGTTTTAACTAATCATGGAGGTGAAATAAACGAGAAGCCCAAGGTTCCACACATGAATGCGAAACAATTTCATTCCTGGTTAAGAATTTTTTGTACCTCCAAAGACTGAGCATTATAGAAGAAGTGCCAAGTGCATGCGCACATGGCTCCGCCTAATAAAGGAACCTGACAGGAATTGAAAATCACCCGACAAGCTCCTCATAAGGTCACATAGCACTACAACATAAAGTTTCGGAAACAGTAAAGGCAGCGTAGCTAGAAACTTTCATGAAGCATTACATTCATACAAACTGAAATAAGAGGTTAGAGCAAAAGCTTATACTCCCTGACAGCTCATTTAGGTGTATCTTGCAACATGTTCATTAAAGTAGGAATTGAGCTACAAACCATACAAACTGCTAGAATTTCAAATTGAGAGGACTCGAGAAACTTGAGTTGCTGGATGTACCATTCCCCATGAAAGGCCTTTCCAAGTAGAGTTGCCAGGAGTGTCACCGTAACGCCAGACCAACGCCATTGCCGTAATCCTACGAACAGCATTCCATCCAAGAACATAAACAGATTGGCTTGCTCACTAAATGCACTCTTAGAGTAATACTGCTGAGGCGAACTTTCAAAAGGCGTTTAGTGAGCCACAAATCATGCATACTCAAGTGCTGACGACGACGGCGAAGGTGCAGCTGTTGTGCGAAGGACGGAGACCATAAAGGTCACCTGTGAACTACTCCGCATCAAATATACTCATGAAGACTCTCCACCCGACGAGCGAGAATCAAAACGATAGCCACGCGAAATAGCCCCACACTACCATTACAACAAAGCGATTAACCGAAGGGAATAGCAGACTGCGAAATATCAAACTGCGCAGATAAGAGCTGTCCACCTTATCGATTCCTGTAAACTCACGTTGTGGCTGAACGGTAATTGAGACGCCGCCAAGCAAGATTCCTATAATGATCGACTCCGACGGTGCACGAGAGGAGGGAAAAAAAACAAAAACAAAAACAAAAACACACTATAAACACTAAAAACTGAAGTACAAGCTAAAACAGAGGAGTCCGTAAAGCAAGGGTAGGTCCACATTTAAGGGATGTGGATTCTCGTTAGTCGACAATGCAGGTCACATGAACAAACCGGGTGGTTAGAGAGAGAGCGTTGAGTGAGCTCCGTCCCACGAAACGAGCCCTGAACCGCACGGGAACCAATTAAACTCTCAAGCATCTTTCATAACAATAGCATGCGGCTGCCACTCCCAACTCTATAGCATTAGTTCCATACACAAATCAAAACAAATTGGCAACAAACATTTAACACAGCTTCAAAAGTAACCTCATTAGCCGTGGCTGCTAATAGAGGAGTCGCATTCCCACTATAATGGACTTTTACGCTAGCATTGTTGTGCAAATTCTCATGTAAAGCGACTCCCAGCGTCGATAATCCAAAACCCTAAAGCATCACCATCTGAGCTTTGGAGATAGTTTTATGATAACTACGTATCAAAAGATGTCTTCAAGTCTCATCAAAACCTACTAGACATCGCGCACACACTGTTTGAGTCCAAGAGCACGAAATCAAAGCCAAAGCCACTGTAACATCAACCTGGCAGTCATCTACAAGCAATTTCCTGAATTTCTTGACAGCTTGAGGAGAAAAGGAAGAAGCACGAACCATTCCGCTACGCTCGCCACATGTATGACCCAAGTGGGCAGTGACAAGGCATTCTTGGGCTCCGAAGCCAGGATCGAAGACCACGCATCCGGATTCAATGCAATCTCCGCAGCATGAGCGTGCTCCGGGAACGCCAGCATTGTCCCTGCAACTGCCCCTAATCCCAACACACACCCAGCGCGTCTATACAGCACTAATTGCTCCGAGCGCATTGGAATAACGTCCAAAGGTTCAGAGGACGAAGTCGATGCGGAGCAGGAGACATCATTGGACAGGGAAAGTCGGGCTTGATTACGAAGGACAAATTGAGAAGAATTGTTGAGAACAAGCGCGTGTTTCGATCCCTGAAAGCTCCTCAGTGAATGCGCACGGACACTGCAAGTGATCATACGAGAGTTCTTCGAGAGGAGAAGAGACTGCAGTATCGCCATCGCTGCAAACTGGTCTCGGAGTTTCTCACACAACGCGAACGACATCAGTCCCGTGCATCAGCACGTTTTCCCGTATCGAAGCAGAGTTTCTCACTCATCCGAAATAACCCAACACTAGTGTTCAGAGCATGAATTCGTCCATGCTCACACTGTGTGAGTGGGTCCAGCAAGCAAGCTTTGAAGGTGAAGGCACGGGCGATGGCGTTGTTCAGATAAGGAAAATGTCACCACACGGCCTCGGTCTTCGCCTCATGGCCCTAAAATATTGGTAGGAGTGGTGTAGAGTGGAGAGTTTTAAAAAAGAAAAAAGAAAACCATATGACAGGGTTAAAACTTTAGGAATTATTACATTTTTCTGGTGTGAGGAGCCATTAGAACTATCTGTTCATCCAGTACCAGCTCGATACCAATTCAGCTACGGCATCTTTACACAACCAGCTAAGCTCCACAACTAGGTCTGTGAGGGGTCTCGGTGATTCAGGGTAGCGATAGACGAGGTCTTCGAAGGGTATCGATGATACACGCTCGCGGTGGACGCGGTCTGTCAGCGGCATCCACAGCGCGAGGGAGTTCATGGGACGGGAGACTTTTTTCGTGAGGAGGCGGACAGACAGCAGATCCAGCAAGAGAAGGAGAGCGGAGGGCGCTGTGAAATTTTGTTGTTGATTTTGTTCTTTTCTTAGCGCAAGATTGGAACAGACGAGCAGATCAAGAGATTGAGCATGATTCTAGTGGTACTACGGACGTACTCGTTAGATCAGCATTGAATCCAAACATTGCACAAGTTCAAAATTGTGATTTGAATGTTGAGAATTGCTGCGCAAGCTTACCGCTTTCTCCTGATGTGAACGCCGCTAGTTGTTCTCCAGAGCCTGGATAGGGTATTGTACTAGTGCTTAATACAGATGGAATTAGCCATCGATCATGATTCGGTTCATTGCTGGAGGGTGTTGGATTTTCTTCGATCAGTCTGTTGGATATTGTGAATGTCGGTGCGGAATTTCTGAAGGTAGTAGTCGCCTGATGTTAGATTCCCGGAAATCTTAGGATCATCGAAATAGGAAGTAAGAGGAATCAGTGGCAACGAATCAATTGACGAGCGTAGCAGTGATTGGGGAGTTTGGATGACGTAACTTCAGAGGAGCAGTTGTGACAGTTCAACAGTTGGATTGCTGTGAATGAGAAAAACTAAAAGTGAACCTTATTTTTTTGTGGGTGACCATTGGTAAGGTGATATGGTATGTGATTGTGGTTCTTTCTTTCTTTTTCTTTTTCTGTTTGTATTTATTAAATTATTATAATTGTTGTAAACAAGTCATTAGTAAAAAGCCTTATTAGAATTTTTTAAGGATAAAATTTTTTAGTATTTGTTGGATTTGTTGATATTTGTTAGTGTTGGTTAGGATCATGATGTAGGTTTAGGGTGGTTATTCTGGTATTTGTTAGAATTTTTTAAAAAATAAGCATTTTCAAAGTTAAATAATTGTATTTTTTTTTCTTTTAAAAATTTATAAAAACTAAATAAAAAAATTACCAATACATTATTCTTAAAGAAGATAATAGTATTGAATTAAATAAGAAAAGATGCAATTTTGACAAAAATATCATTTTTTTTTGGTTTAGATTTTTAAAAAGAATGTAGATAGAAAATTTAATGCTTAAAAGAAAGAATTGATTTGATTTCATGATATTTCCTATGTGATATTTACTACATAACATCAAAATACCTTAAAGGAACAACTTGAGGTTTTTCAACTATCTTAGGGGGGTTTTTTTTGGATTTTTTTTTAGTAAAAAAATAAAATTGTGATGAGCTCCAAAAGAATAAATTACAAATGGTTTAATTGATATAAAATTTCAAAGAACTTTACACTTTGAACCCTTGAACCAATGCATGGACTTGGCCAAAACCATCCATAAAAATATACTATACTACCATCTCCATCACATTAAACCACTAACTTCATCCTTGTAAATTTTGCCAATCATTGGTGGACTTGGGATGGATTTGGAATCTTTTTATAGGAAAAATGGTAGTTTTTGGATTTGTGCAAGTGCGGCTTCTAACAAGGTCTATGAGCTGGTTACATGCATGATATAGTTTAAGGTATTTCCACATTACAAGCACCAAACTAAAAATACTTCACAAGCACAAACTGAAATCATGACTTTCCTGAAAGTCCCAAATAATCTTAAACCGGCACTTCCAAAGGGCTCTTATTTAGGCTTAATGGTAGTTCAGGCACAAAGCCTAAATAAGAGCCCAATAACAGTTGCATCCTCAGCTTGTTACAGATGTTAATTTATTGAAACAATTCCTTGCTCAATTGAAAGTAAACACGAAAGTTGACAGCACAGAAAACCACCTTTGAAAATACAACAGCTTAGACTCCTAAATACATACCATGCCTAGGAGACCAATCACACACTGCAAAATCGCCACGTGTACCTCCTCTTACCGACACGAAGCAGGAGACATGGCAGCCATGGCCCAGCATGGGCATTGCCCGGGTAGCGAACGGTGGTGCCCACGTCGTGAATCACCAGCAGCCCAAGGATAGGCACAGTTGGTGGGTGCCGCGGTGTGACGGCGGCAACGGCCATGGTATGTGGACGGGATAAAAGAGGGAGGGAAGAAGACGAAGGAAGGGGGTCAGACGACGAGCGAGAAGAAGGGCAAAGAGAGGGAAGGGGCAGGGGACGGACAGGGCAGGGCAGGGCAGGGCAGGGCAGGGAGGGGGGGGGGGGGAGGGAGGGAGACAGACACAGACAAGCACGCTCACAAGCAGCGCACCCGAGGTCCCTCGAAGTGCGAGGGTTTCTTCGGCCTCGCGCACTCGCGCGTCCTCCTTCGCGCTACGCCGATCCTCCGCACGCCGTGGTCTTCCCCGCCATCGCCACTGCCAGATCGGTGCGTGTCGCGGTGGAGCGCAGCGTGGAGGGCCGGGCGCCATGTCGACCCCATCCAGGAAGCGTTTGATGCGCGACTTCAAGCGCCTGCAGCATGATCCTCCGGCCGGCATCAGCGGCGCCCCGCAGGACAACAACATCATGTTGTGGAATGCTGTCATATTCGGGTACCCAAACTCCTCCCCGATTTTCGTTCTGCATGCTCAATTGTGTCGGTATGAATGCGAAATTCGTGGGGCGCGGAGATTTGCATGGCGGTGTCGGTTTTCTCCGTTCCTTCTTTCATTCTGTCTTTTCTCCTTCCCTCTTCTTTTGTTTATTCTGGTCTGCGCATTTTGTGGTTTTTTTGCGAGTTGCTTCACTCCTGTTTTACTGTGCCTGCGGAGTGAGAATCGGTGACGCGGGCGGCTTTGTTCTTTGAATTTTGGTGTCTCTGTTGTGCGTGCGTGGTCGGAGGGACAATCGAGGGCGGTGGTTGTTTGTGATGGTTCATCGTAGTTTAGTTTCGTTTTTTCTCTTTGGACGGGGTGGCTGTTGGGGGATGGGCGTTGAACATGCGGGCGGTTGTGAACATCTAGGGTTCGTGAGTTTGTAGCACGGAGAGCTTCTTGTTGAGGCGTGCGAGGCAGGCGGTGCTTGTGCTCGTATGGTTCGATGTGTGAATTTGCATCGAGGATCAACTGGAGCTGTTGCGTTGAGGATCTTGGAAATATTTTTCGTGCGGCAGTCTTCGTTGTCACAGGAGAGGAATAGCAGCAGATGTGAAGATGGCAGCTGAGCGAGGCTTCGAAGTCTAAATGATAGGGTCGAGGTAGTTGCGGTTGGCGGTCGAGTGGTACGAAGCTCTTGTTGGTGGTGAAAGTGTGAGAGTGAATTGCATGCGCGACAGCGCGAGAGGGTGGACTGTATTTCTTCGAAATATGCATGGCATGCTCGTTGCCGCCAATCTTATGTATGACAGGGCGAACGTCATTTTGTAGAATCAGTGCAAAATTAAGTTTGAGGGTCTTGTTATGAGCGTTTTTGCAATTATGGCTTGAGCTGGTAAATTTTCGGATGCGTAGGGTGCTTTTCGTCAGTGTGAATGGATCGGGCACTAGGTCCAGGTGTTTGAGGCCACGATGTGATCGTCTTCGTGCTTGCATCAAACAGTTGTGGAAATTGGTGGTCGTGAGATTACGCATTGGAACAGAAGCTAATGTAGTCCCCGTGTTGTTTTTCTTTTTTGTCTCTTTCTTTTGCAGTCCTGATGACACCCCGTGGGATGGAGGTATGGCTACACCACGTTGACTTAGCGGTGTAGGAATTTGGAGGACTTGTGGTTTGGAAAATTGTTGATAGAGTGTGTTGGTGAGATAGAAACTGCATCAGCGTTGGATGTTACGCGCGCCGTTCTGTTTTGGCGGATCGTCTCTCGCACTGTGTTGCTGCCGATTGCCTGGTTGTTTGTGTTGTAGGTTTGGGCCATTTTGCGGTGTAGCGAAAGTTGTTGGCAGTGTAGGAGTGGACAGTTATTTTAAAGTTTCTGGCTACCGAGATTTGAGGGTTGGTGTGTGCTATGTCTCATGTGCGCGCGTTACTGTTGGTTGTTCCTCCCCAGGAACGTTCAAGTTGACGTTGCAATTTACTGAGGATTACCCGAATAAGCCTCCCACAGTGCGCTTTGTCTCAAAGATGTTTCACCCTAACAGTAAGCATTTCCTGTGAATATTAGGGGTCGTGGAGGTAGAGTGGTTGAGACTGGTCCACCTGAATACGGAATGTGTGAGGGTGTACTTGTGGAGAGTGGATTAGGATTTTAGCTGTTGTTGATTCACGAAGGAGTTATTCATTTTAGTTTGGATCCATTTCATATTTCTGGTATGTTGTTTCGTTTGTGTGAGTCATTGTTCGTACTTGTGGAGAGTGCTTTTTTCTGTTGGTTGTCTAGCGCTTGTGTTGAGGACGTTTGGAGTCCCTGGGCGTGGAGCCGAGAGGGACACAGCGCGCGTCTCTGTGTTTATGCGGTGGTGTTTGTGGCAAACAGTATATGCGGACGGTAGCATCTGCTTAGATATCCTGCAAAATCAGTGGAGCCCGATCTACGACGTGGCAGCGATTTTGACTTCGATTCAGGTGAGTGATCGTGATGCCAGCAGGTGTCCGTGACATTGTAAGTCGGTTGATTCGGTTGAGACGTAGTGGTGCGACCAGGAACGTGAGAGGGGTGTTGGAAGGTATTCGAAGTATCGGAGTAATAGAACCGGCTTCAATGTGCTTATTGTAGAGATAGTTGTGTTTGGTAGTTTGTTGGTGAGATGCGAGTGTTGTGCGAGTTGCAACAGATTGATAGGAGGCATGGCAGAGTAGTTGGTGTTGGGCAGGGGAAACATTTCTGAATGTGGCCGTCGCATAGTCAGCTTGAGATTGGTCGGCGTCTTCTTTGGCATTTGCGGCTGAATACGTCGACGACAACGATGCGTAGAGCGAGATTATCTAATACACGGCTTTGATGCAGTCTTTGCTGTGCGACCCAAACCCGAATTCACCAGCGAACTCGGAGGCTGCCCGCATGTACAGCGAGAATCGGCGTGAGTACAACCGGAGGGTACGCGAGATCGTGGAGCAAAGCTGGACAGCAGAGTGAACGAAGGGAGTTCGAACTGTCGCTGGTTTTCCATCATCCGTTCGAAGAGAAAGGTCTATTTTGCTGGGGTTGTTGGGAAGTTGAACCTGAAGAGGGGAGGGAGCGGTCACAGGATCGCAAGCTGGAACTTCCGAGCTCCACCGAGTATCGCGTTATTACTCTTTGTTGGGAAGAACTCTTGAGTTGGAGGTTTGGTGATATTTGTATCGGTTATTTCTGGTGTGACTCGTACGTGTGGAGATACCAATCCTTGAGTCTTGCACCTGGAGTTGGAGTATATATGTGTAATTTTGGTTTGTAGAGTGCAAATGGTGGTTTTATTCCAGTTTGACACAGCCTCTTCTGCTGTTGGTTAGGGTAGTGGCTGGGTGACGAGCACTCTTTTCGGCTTTGGTATGTGTCGACTTTTAATCGCGTTTATGGATTACGTGTAAGAATTTAAATTGTTGATTAAATTTCTGATTTTGGATTATTTCATGGTGCTTGTACTGTTCAGGTTTCACGCTGTATGATTCTCGTTGTTATGTTTTAATTTTTTCTTGCAGACTTTGAAATTTGTATTGGCATGGTTTTTTTTTGTTGATTTGTTATTTCTGTTAGCTTTCACTATTTGATTTCATATCGGGCAATAAACCTTGGGCAGGAAGCAGTCGCGTCATTTATCCTTAGTTGTTGGGAGTTGGTATGTCTTCAAACTTTGTAATAAAAGTGTTTCAAAAAGAATTGTGGTGTGCAGATGACGTGGCTTCGAAGTGTTTTTGCGTTTTTGTTTAGTGAATTGTTCTTTTGTTTTTCTTTAATTGTCATCCACTATTGATTTACTCTTGGTTGTCAACAAATTTGTTGAACTCATTGCTGTTGGTATGTTGTGCATTTTGAAATGCAACAATTTATTAAGGTAATCTCTTCATCATATGATATGATGCATGCATGTGGTGAGAATCACTTTCATGTGGTAAGAGTCTTGAACAAGAAGAATTAAAGAGCTAACGTAGCAAAATAATACTGAGTTTAACATCAAAAAATGGAATTTCTTTTGTTTTTTTAATGATTGGTAGAATTATCAAAATCTCTAATAATTCTTTTAATTTAATGCATATAGTGGACAACTTAATGTTTATGTGTATGACAATGTATACATTATTGATTGATATAATTGCATATATATTTTAAAATAAGAAGTGGCTTAATACTTACAGTATTTATCTTTTCATAAAATGAATATCTTTTGCAGCATATAATTTTGGGTATTGCTAATGTAACCACAATTCACTACTGTTTTGATATATTTGATTTATTATTTGAGATTGATATGTATATATTTCAATTATTAAGCTACTTTAGTTTTAAAGATAAATTGGATCTAAACTCCTATTCTTCTTGAATTATCTATTTACCGAAGTGTGGTAGTTCCAACACCTCATCTATTTGTTGATCTATGGTATTTAAATCTAACACTACATTTAATCTAGCAAAATTAAAGGTTAGTTAGGTAGAGATTAGAAACAAAAATTCTATTTTAAACATTTTTTTTTAAAGAACATATGTAATTATTTGCCATATAAAAAGATTTGATTATTATCTTGGTTTTTTTTTTTTTTTTTTTTTTTTTCTTCATTTTTTTAGAATTAAACAATTAAAAGTAGTATATAGAGGTAACACTTAAACAATGTGAATCTGTTATATTATCATTTATAAAAAATATAATAAGTTGACATCCAAAGCCATAACTATTTTAGAATTGATTTGTTTTTTAGTTATCATTCTATCATTAATATCTATGTATCTTAAATTCCAAAATCATCATGACTTAGTATATTACCAACTATAAAGGTAAAAATAACAAAATAATTTTGAACCTGTATAAAAAACTATATATTTTTTCAAATTTTAAGTATTTGTTGAAAAAGAGCTTAATATACTTGAATTTAGCAATTATTCTATATACAATGTATAAACAATCAACATGAATCAAACTCAACCATCCTATCTAATTAACCTCTAATTAATTGGAAAAGGATAAAAGACTTATTTCATATGGTACTTCTATCACAATTTGTTACAATCATATATATTTATACTATTATTTACTTAAATAAGAGGAATTAGGTGGAAGTAGATAAATTTGATAATATCTTAAGGATAAGTTTAATAGAAGCTTCATAGATGGAAATTTGACTTCCTAAGTGTTTGTAGGTGACTAATAGATTAAAAAGTTGGCTCAAAAGTTGGCCATGCATTGCACATGTTGACTACTTATTTTATAAGTTGGCCACTTTTCATATAAGTTGGACATGTGGTGCACATATTAGAAACTTGACTTGCAAGTTGGGCACATATTAAATGCCCAATAGAATGTCACCTTATAGTTTCTTAATTAAATAGTAAATATAAAAGCAAGCATGAGGCCTTCTTCACTCTTATCAATTCCTTTCTTGTTTCTAGTTTAGTTTCAAGGATCTTTAGTTTTCTTGTCTTGTGCATTAATTATTTAAATTTCTTCTTGAATATACATATTTTTTCATTTCTATTATGCCATCTTTTTTTGAACCACATATTACTACTCAAATTACATTCTTTAAGTTCTTATCTTTGTCATTAGCTCAAATGAATACTAATTATTAAAAATTAAAAATGACTGTCATTTTTCTTTTATTAAAGTTTGAAATTTGAGCTTTCAATTTGGTTAGGAAATACTTCTGGCTTATCTTGAGAACAAATCTCATATTATATTGTAGAGATTGTCATCTATCTTATGAAATGTACCTACACTCAAAAGTCAAAGCCTCTTGATTGTATCTAATGCTATAACATGCTAAAAAAGGCTCTTTAGTATTCTTCACAAGCATCAAGTCTTTAACATGGTCACTTTTCAAGTAATTTAGTAAAGAAGATTAATATCAAATTCAAATCTACACCATAAAAAAGACTATTTGAATACTTGCAACTACTTAATGGTTTAAGAACAATCTTTATATGTACTTATACTTGCTATTACCACCAACCTTTGTAGGGCATTGGGAATCAACTCTATATCACAACAAAATCAACAAGCATTGTCTACTTCGTACAAACAAAAGAATATTTCTAACTATTAATTTGACTTCATTCCTACAATATGGCTATATATATAGACTACGCATAATACAAAATAAGATAATATTAAAAACCTTCAAAACCAATGCCTACAACTAAAAGAAGGTATTAGAGAAAAAAACCAATAATCCAAATTAGATCCTCATTCCAATGACATATAAGCAAAATTCACAAGTGAACTAGAACAACTCATCCACCTATGGTTGATGGTCATGAGTCACAAAATTAGTGACAATAAAATAAGATTGCACCAAAGTCAAAAATATAAAATGTTGAAAAGAGATATATTAAAATTGAACTTAAAAAAAAAATATTGAATATATGCCAATTTAATGCTCTAAATGACCTTCAATTATCAAATTAATAATACCATTAACTTCTTTCGACAAGTTTTACATAGAAATGACTCAAAAAATGTCAAATTTTGATTTTGTTTGCTCTTGGAATAAACTTCTAAATATTAATATTTAAGAGCTTTTAGCAAAAAATATCATATTTTATTATTATTTATTATTTAGATTTTTATTATAAGAATTTTTATATAATAAGCAAGTTTACTAAGATTGGAAGAAATTTTGTAGATGAATGAAAAACTTATTAATAATTATTCGCAATGTTGCATACAAAGAGAGTATGGAGTAAGATATCTCTCACTTCCAACACCCATTATTTATAAGTGGTGGATGCTGCCCTAATAGACAACTTCTACTCTTTGATGAATACATCTATCCAACATTCTACCAAGACTATCTATTGTTATCTTATCTACTATAAAAATATGTCTTTAGTATGTTCTCTATATTCTTAAGATCCTTTGTTCATTCATCTACTTTATCTCTTGGCCTTCTTACATACCAAGGGCCAATCTTTTAATTAATAGTAACTTATTTAAAATAATATCTTTTATAATATTAATTATTCTACTTTCATATTTACTTATATACTTTAATACTCCTATTTTTCTATTATTCAAAGGCTTTCAATGTCTTTATCAACATGTGAGGTCTATCATTTACTAGTACTTTTATCAATAAATTAGTAAGCATGTCTTTTTTTGTTTAATACTTTATATCAATCACTTACATATTAATCTCCTCTCTTATAAAGTGATGTTGAATGTCAATATGCTTGGTCTTTGAATAATACTTTAGATTCTTTACAAATGTAAGACATCCTTGACTATTGCATTCTATTGAAGTTACTTCCATTTATACTACTCCAATGTATTCTAAAAATTATCTTAGCTATATTACCTCCATTCCACCATGATTTGCTACCATGTATTCTGCCTCAATTGTTGATCTTATAACTATAGGTTTTTTCTTGTAATTCCATGAGATAGCTCTTATTCCAACAAAGAATACATATTCTATTGTTGACTTTCTATCATTTGCATCTCCAATCCAATCCACATCACAATAACCATGCAAAGTAATGTTATCACCTCCAAGGCACAATTTGAAATTCAAAGTATCTTTTAAGTACCTCATGATTCTTTTGATGGTTGTCCAATGGATTAGTCTTTGACATGTATTAGCTCATAATACTCACTACATATGTAAGATCCATTTTTATGCCAACCATTACATACCTAAATGAATCTACTAGTATCTTATATGGAACACCTTACATTTGACCTTCAACTTTAGCAAACTCTTCATATGTGAACTTCATCAACTTGAAATTAGCCTCAAAGGTGTTCCCATAGGCTTACATTCTACTATGTTGAATTGTTTCAACACTTCTTTAATGTACTTGCTTTGGCTCATTGTAATGGTTTTCTTAGTATAATCTCTGACAAACTCCACTTCTAAAAAATAATGAAGCTCTTTCAAATCACTCATCTCATATTCCTTTTTTTAACTTTGCCTTCAACCAATCAATCATTTTCATAGTATTCATTAAGATGATCAAATCATCAACATAAAAGATGACAATCAATATGAATTCTTTTGATTGCATCACATGCAAGGAATAATCAGATTCACTCCTTCTAAATCCTTCATTTACAAAGAATGTAACAATGTGTTGATATCAAGCCCTTAGAGATTGCTTGAGTCCATACAAGACTTTCTTCAACTTACAAATAAGTTGTTACTTTCGTTATTCTATAAATCCTTGACATTGATCTATATAGATGTCTTGTTTTAGATTTCTATTTAAGAAATCCATCTTTACATCTATTTGATGTATCTCAAAGTCTATTGCTATCTCAATTATAACAATGGTTCTAATGGTTGTGAATTTGGCCATGAAAGCAAATGTCTCATTGAAATCAATACCAAAAATTTATGAATAGTCTTTGGCAATCAATCTATATTTATATTTCATAACATTATCCATTGTATCCCTTTTGGTTCTAAACACCCACTTATATCCAA